CTCTTCAGAAACCTACGGGTGACGTCACGGACACTACGTCCATGTCTTTGTCTATGGGTCAAATCTATGGGCACCGACAGTGCAGAATGCTTTATTTATTATAGTGGGAGCGACCTAATTTTGGTTTCAAAACCAAACGTTTTAGATGCGAGCTTGCAGGCTTCCAGCTGTGGATTACATATGTGTTTTAGAGGTGCAATAAACCATGTTGAGGGCCCGTATGAAACTACGTTATATAAACTATATTACCTACTTAATATTCATCCATATTCGGCAATTTGAGAGCGTAAAATAAGATACAGCATTAAAACTTAAGAGGAGGAAATGGATAGGTGTAATACTTAATCTTCTCTTTATATTATTACAAAACTTTACACATACAATGGCTAAACTCCACACTGTGTGGAACAAACAAACAAAACAATATACAAAATCAAATAAACAACAAAAAAATTAAAAGTTTCTCATTTAAAAAAAAAAAAGCATAAATAATATAAAAGACAAACTTTTTTCGTACAACAGATACATTCATATGAAATAATATTTTACTACAAAAAAAATAAATAAGTCATCTAAAGAGTTTTTGCTTTTACTTTTAAAAGTCCTCCCATCGTTTCAGTCTTTGAGTCTTCCATCATCTTTGCATAAAAGTCTCTTTTCATTCTGTTTATTTCCATTCTTCTTTCTCTCGTCAGTCTTCTCCAGCTCTGTAAGAAGTCAGTTTAGTGTCCATTTCAAGTCACTCAATGTCTTTGACTAATCCATCACTGGCAATTTTTTTAATTCGTTCATGTTCCTATTCTCAATTTCTCTCGTTCTCTTTCTTGTGTTTAGTGTGTATGCATGTTTGATAAGTATTTTCTGGTTTAAACGTGTTCAGATCTCCTGCACGGTAGGCTGGATGAGATCTCCATTCAGGTTTCCAGTAGAGATCCAGGCTGTTTTTTCCTTACAGTCCAGATCAGGCAGTCCCAGTTGTTCCCAACACACCACAGGACCCTCCGAGTCTTCATGCTGCACGGGCTGAACTCCTGTTACACACACATATACAGATAGAAAAAAATGATGCACCAGAATAATATCCAAATAATATTGCATGATGAGTAATTTACAGTTTGCCAATGCAGTAATTTCCTGAACAGCAAGAAGAAACACCGACTTTCCTCATTCAGAAGGAGTGCGGAATGAATCAGAGAGCTCTTTATAGCGCTGAAACTCTCTCACCTCGTTGATGCTCGAGGGTGGACTTTGTCTCCACTGG